AGATCCAGGTCCTAGAGAAAGTTATTGAAAGCGAGGCACAAGAACTTGTCCGGTATCTGAAAGCCTCTAACAAGAAAAGTGGCGCTAACCTTAAAGGTCTGATAAATTTGTCAGTGAGCAATATAGTGCTTTGGTATTTGTTGAGCAAGCGTTCATCCTATAAAGACAAAAAACTCATCGAACTCCTCGGTTTTGCAGACAAATTCTCCAAGGCAACAGGAAATGGAAACCCCGTAGACTTCCTACCTTGGCTGAAATTTATCATGACAAAAAGTACAAGGAAATTAAAGGAATGGCAAGAACAATTCGGGCAAATGTTACAGGGAATCATTGAAGAACATCACGCAGTCTATGAGCCTGGATCCGAGAGGGATATAGTCGATCATATCATTACTACCAGCACTAAGGGCGGGGATGAAGAACTTAAACGGTTGGGGTTGGATGGAAAGACACTCCTTCAAATTGCATATGACTTTTTCGGGGCAGGTTATGAGACTACATCTGCAACCTTAGAGTGGATGCTCCTCTACATGGCTTCCTACCCACAAGTTCAGTCTGATGTTCAAGGTGAGATCGATCAGTTTGTTGGTCGTGGTCGTTTGCCAACCTTGAACGACTTTGACAATCTACCGTTAACGCAGTCATGCCTTCTTGAAATACAGCGTCACGCATCAGTTGTTCCTTTCGCCGTTCCTCACAGCACGACCAAGGATACAGTTCTTGACGGATATTTCGTTCCTAAGGACATGGTAGTCTTCGTCAACCTCTACTCAGCTCACTTTGATCCAGAGGTTTGGGACCAACCAGAAGCCTTCAACGCTCGTCGTTTTCTCGCGCAGGATGGAACATTGGACAAGGACAAGGAGAAGCTTGTGGTTGCATTCGGTCTTGGTCGCAGAAAGTGCATCGGCTCAGATTTGGCTCGAATCAATATTTTCATCTACTTCACCACACTCCTGCATCAACTAAATCTTAGTTGTCCACAAGGTCAGAAAGTGAGTCTAGAATCGGCTTTCGGGCTCGTTAGACGCCCAGTGGAATTTAACGTGGAGGTTGTCCCGAGATCATAAGGTGTTCAACCATACGGCTATTTGTATCGAAATTGTTGCACACCAACCTCTTCATCTACTTCACCACACTCCTACATCAAATGTTGTCCAAATGGTCAGAAATTGGGCCTTGAGTTGGTGTATAGGGCAGCTAGACACCCGAAAGATTTGAACTTGAAGGTTAGTCATGATATACACTGTCCTTTGTTGCAACACATTTTCCTTTCGAAAGATCATTGTAAATAGATCACAACTGGATTTAACCAGTATTTTATTTCTCATTTTGAGCTGGAAGTCGGTTCAAAATTGCAACAAAGGTTTTCCAAAACGGTATCTTGTAGTGCTTGACATTAGGAGCAAAATTTAAAAAATAAAGAAAATTGGACACCCGGAAAGAAGTTATGTTTTAAATGGCGTCCATGTTGGCAACCAATAACCTTGATGTAGGAAATTGGATCTATACGTATTTTTTCTTATGCAAGTGACTTTGTAAAATGTGCATAAAAATGCCGCTAAAAATACGGTGAACGAAAAGTAGTTCCTCGATTTAAAAGTTTGTTTTGTTATTTTGAGGAAGAATTGATTTATTTTGAGTCTATGCAAAAAGGAATAAGATTGCATATAATGTGTCATAGCTAATTTTTTTTACTTTATTCAGAAGGTGTTTGTAGAACAATAGCAAGAAGAGGAAGGATATTTTTTTCATAGTATTGTCATAGGTCCTTGTATGTGGGCGCAGGAATATACCTGACATAGCAGTTAAGTAGGATACATTGCATCTTGTCATGGTTCGAGGATGTTGTGCGTGTGTCGGGCCGTGTGTGTTTAGCTTGCACCGTCCTTGTTTCAGTTTACACCTTTGGAAGAAGTAAGTTGTCTTCTTTAAATGTCATAGTTTGATAGTAAAGATTAAAAGTTTTGATACATATCTATAAAATGTTTTTATGTCCTTCAGGAGAGGAAAGTAAGAATTATTTTGGAAGAAGAATGTATTTGAGTTTGTACTTGACAACTTCCGATATAGTGTCTTCATTGGGATGATATCCAATTACTCAAATTACATTAGCCGTTTATATAAATAGTATTACATTTATTCTACATGATGATTAGAGAAATTGTCATTTAAATCATACCTGTATTTAGTGTGAATTATTGATTGTAATAATTTCGCCGTTGAGGGCGCATGATGTTAACATTGGGATAAAGATGGCGGCGCCCAGGGAATCTTTGTATGTTAATTTAATTGATGAGTTACTTTATGTTATTAGTGTAGGCCTACTGTAAGAATGTTTTAATGATTTATGATAGAAGAAATGCTAGTGAGGTGCACTATAGGAGTTGTCAGATTGTACTGGTCTAGCTGGGACTGTGTTGCCTGTTGGGAGCCGCGAGCTGCTCCGGCTTGTACCTTCAGAATTTGGGTAGAAATTATAGTACGATATGATTTAATATATACATTGTTTAATTAGTGTAGTTTATTAATGTATTTTCAATATGCTTTCATATAATATGTGCTAATTGAAGACTTCGAGATTATCTTTATTATTATATTATCATTGATGTACATTAATGTCACAGTTTATGTAGATTAATACCGTAAACCAGCAGTTTGATAATTTACTGTCTGGTTACCTCGCCCACATTGTTGTCTCATATATAATATGTGAGGTGCCTGTAAAATCGACTGTTCATACCTGTTGATAGGAATCTATGCTTGTACTAATATTTGTCATTTCTGGATTGATTTGCTTGGTTTTTTATTAGGCCTACTGCTGATGATCAACAAATAAATGGGCTCATCACCCACCCTTTACAATACCAAGGTGCTTGCATGGTCGAGTTCTTGTGGCTTACTCCGTATTACGACATTAAATAGCCATAAATCATGACAAATTCATCTTGGAGATATCTTTCGGTCTCTATACCTAGGTTTGGGGTCTTAGAATCCATTCATACAACTGGGTTATGGCAACCAAGAAGCCTGAAAACCAAAGATGGCGTCTAAAATGGCTGCAAGTCTCCTAACCATGATCGGACATGAGTTACTATTTTAAGGAAAGCTGTATTTGTTAAGACTAAAATTATGTTTTCGAGATTCACTGGTATGGTTTGAATAATTATAAAGGATTAGAGTAGCCTCATATTGGATACCCTATCTAAGATGGCCGCCATTTTGGTTTCAATGCCTAGGCTTGTGGGGTCGTCAAATCCATTCAGACTGTGCAATACAAATATCTATATGATCATGAAATTATATGATCATACAAATATATAACATCATATTAAACGTTCAAGTAACCTACCCCTAGGAAGACCGATCCTTGAACAGGATGGCATAGACAATTTATATACAATTTGTACTGGGTCGTAATTATCACATGTTATATCTTGATTCATATTGGAGAAGTTTTATGACAATATTCACAATGAATGAAAAATTATCCATAGAAAAACTCTTCCAGTAGAATATTCAGATATTCAAAGATGGACCTCGGCCTCGGTCCTCATCCGGGTCCTAGTCATCCGGCCCGCCCGGGACAGAGTCTCACATTTAAAGGGAAATACGGAATTTTTAAAGTGTCAAGGAAAAAGTGGAAATTAAAGATACATCCCATATTCAAATCAAAAGAAATATACGATATACTGAACTGGTTAGCATTTTCTCTCTTCTAGGAAGAAGACAACTTTAGACTGATTTGCAGTTTGCTCGACATTTATTCCGCTCCGAAGCTAGGAGTCCTTTTCCTCAAAACATGTAAAGTAGGAAAGTCAAAGTAAAACAAGTAACATGCATAAAAGCAATAACAAAATCTTATAACCACAATAAAGAGGGTCCACCATAAACAATTCGACAATAATGTATAAACGTGATATGATTCAACAATCTTAAGGGTACATGTACCATGAGTGAAACTCAAAATTGTAGGGATCTCCGGTCACGTGATCAGCGGAGGGATAGTAACTCCTTCCGATCACCCCAGGTCCCTGGGGTTTACGTGACCTGCCGGTAGGATAGTATCTCCTACGGATGATCCCCACAACTTTTCAATACTCACAAAATCATCAATGCATAAATAACATAGTTATGGAAACACTATATTTGTGGGATCTCGAGTCACGCGATCAGCGGAAGGATAGTAATTCCCTCCGATCACCCCAGGTCCCTGGGGTTTACGTGACCTGCCGGTAGGATAGTATCTCCTACGGATGATCCCCACAACTTTTCAATACTCACAAAATCATCAATGCATAAATAACATAGTTATGGAAACACTATATTTGTGGGGTCTCGAGTCACGCGATCAGCGGAAGGGTAGTAACTCCCTCCGATCACCCCAGATACCTGGGGTTTACGTGACCCACCGACAGGATAGTGTATCTCCTGCAGTATCCCCAATGTTATCCCGGTGCTACTATACCAGCGCATATATAAGAAGTGGTGATAATCGGAACCAACCATGGAATAATCACGAGTAAAAGAAATCCTCCCCCAGTCAACCCCCGTGTTACCATGATATTAAATACATACAATTCGTTATATCACTCAAAACAACATTGTACTTCCAATTTGTTAATCCTCAATCAACTTTAAGTAGTTTACTTCTTCAACTCTACTTAAACTAAAGAGGGGTGGGTGGGCCGGGGAAAAAGGACTTCTCCGAGCGGAGATAAAGTCGAAAGTGAGAAAATCTTGCACACGGCGTTCCCACGCTTACTGCGCGCATAACTCCACCGTTGTAGATTCACTGGCTGTGCGCATTTTCGGTTTCTTTACAGAGGTAAATTTCACATGTCGCTGTCCCACAAAGGCACCGCTTAAACAGCTGTAAAAGGCGCGCGCTATTTCTGGCCTATGCCAGCAATTGTTTTGTCTATCCTTGACTCTCCCAGAATGACTCTGATCATTTATTATGATCACGTTATTCTAGGAAGAAGACAACTTTAGACTGATTTGCAGTTTGCTCGACATTTATTCCGCTCCGAAACTAGGAGTCCTTTTCCTCAAAACATGTAAAGTAGGAAAGTCAAAGTAAAACAAGTAACATGCATAAAAGCAATAACAAAATCTTATAACCACAATAAAGAGGGTCCACCATAAACAATTCGACAATAATGTATAAACGTGATATGATTCAACAATCTTAAGGGTACATGTACCATGAGTGAAACTCAAAATTGTAGGGATCTCCGGTCACGTGATCAGCGGAGGGATAGTAACTCCTTCCGATCACCCCAGGTCCCTGGGGTTTACGTGACCTGCCGGTAGGATAGTATCTCCTACGGATGATCCCCACAACTTTTCAATACTCACAAAATCATCAATGCATAAATAACATAGTTATGGAAACACTATATTTGTGGGATCTCGAGTCACGCGATCAGCGGAAGGATAGTAATTCCCTCCGATCACCCCAGGTCCCTGGGGTTTACGTGACCTGCCGGTAGGATAGTATCTCCTACGGATGATCCCCACAACTTTTCAATACTCACAAAATCATCAATGCATAAATAACATAGTTATGGAAACACTATATTTGTGGGGTCTCGAGTCACGCGATCAGCGCAAGGGTAGTAACTCCCTCCGATCACCCCAGATACCTGGGGTTTACGTGACCCACCGACAGGATAGTATCTCCTGCAGTATCCCCAATGTTATCCCGGTGCTACTATACCAGCGCATATATAAGAAGTGGTGATAATCGGAACCAACCATGGAATAATCACGAGTAAAAGAAATCCTCCACCCACATTTTTTTTTTTTTTTTGTGTGTGTGGGGGGGGGGGGGGTTGGGCGTGGTTTGCCATGGTTGCTTCCTTACCATCTATGGACCCATGCTGTTTAACTAACTATTATCATGTATTTATCATGGATTCAATCCGTAACATATTGTAATCTTATGTTATTATTCCTGCTGCTAGCCAGACAGTGATAGAGGCGAAAACCCGACAATATTGCCATTGTGGCTTAGTTTAACGAGCAAAATAATTATATTTCCTTTGTCGGGGAAAATTCCCCTATGGCCCACTTTGTAGTTCTGAGGCTACTGTGCGACCGAGTGGCTCTGACTCCACCCTCTGCTAGCTTAACAATTATGTACGACGTATACTAGTACATCAAAATCAATCATTAATTTAAATATGGTTCTAGTTTGTCAGCAATTAAATAAGTTTCAAGTTTAATGTGAATCCCAAAATGAAGGCGTATATATCTGAATATGTAACTCACGTTACAACACGCTGTTCCTCAACTTTTTGTGTTATAATAATTCCATTGTCACATCGAACCCAGTCTGTCCGAGATTCCACAAGGCTCATTAATAGCCGAATTAGTGTTATTGTCCCGTTTCCGTGGATGTAAATGTTCTATTCATGTGTACCCAAGCCCGAGTCTATTCCTTCTTGGAAGTTATCGATGAGAGCGTCGGATCCTCTGTCGGACAGGTGTACCCCATCTCTTAAAAATAAACTGTGATTGGATGGATCCAACTGATGAGCAATAACTGACGCATTCGGCAGCCGGGCTATTAATCTCCTCGCGTACTTGTTGAGCGATTTCCTGACCCCATCCATGGCGTCTTGTGATGTTCGATGACCACGACTGCTATGATAGAATAGGCGTGGGATGATGGTCGACCAGGCGATGTGCGTACGAGGCATGGCTGTCCGAAGGGTTTGAAGAGCCATATCGATCGCGATTCTGCATTGGCAGGCATCATTCAGGCCCAAGTTATTTGTTCCCAGATGCACGATTACTAGCGCAGGTGCTCGTTGGTTGTATCTCAACCTGTTCTCCACCAGGCGCGGAAGGTCTTGTAACGTCGCTCCTCCCTGACCGTGCCATTGGACCGTCCCTCTTGCTCTTCCCAGATCTTGGCGGTTGGGCATGCTCGCCCTCTGCTTGGCACGTCTGACCAAGCTGTCGCCTACGATCCAGATCCTGTCGCCGGTTGTCTCTGAAACAGGATGGAAAAAAAACTCCCCAAAGTAATGTGTTCTATATTCATATTCATATCATCATACACGCGGGCTACTTATTCTCCCACTTATAATTTACTATGAAAGTATGTGATAGTAGGTTTCCATTAAAAGGAAAAAAGGAAGGAATGATCGTTCCTCTGTGTTACATGTAAAACCTAGCAGCGATGGGGGTTACGACAATATTAATGATTGGGGGAGTCTAATCAGGATAGTAACTCCTGGTTGATCCTCCAGTCCCATTCTGGTTATTAACATGAGCACTTCACATAATTGATCTGCACGTTGTATACTTTGTGTCGTGTTCAACTTTTTATTGTATTATAACGAATTAGGTTAAATAATTGTGTAGAATTATTACTGCTTTCCCGTTTGCCCGTTAGTAATTTAACTCCAATTTGTCATGGTGATCTCTATTAATGTAATGTTGTGGCCTTGTTGGGAATTAATTGCATAATTTATGTGGAGCGCGTTGATATCGTAACATATTATGCTGTATATAAAGTTATCATTATTATTATCCTTATAATTATTATGTTTATGATAACGTTTATTCCTATCAATTTTAAGTTGCACCTGATATTTAGCGGATATAACGCATGTACACAGAGCTGCGCCACCTTCCCATTGCCATTATCTGTTCTGGGGGAACGCCTTTCAGGGCCGCTGTGGTTGCCGCTCCGATTCGAAAGGAGTGTGTGCCATATTGGCTACCACTGTACCCGTTGTGCTGTAGGGTTTTCTTCAGAACTGAACTAAATTGATACCTAGTTACAGGGGCCCCATCACGATGACAAAATAACGGACCATCTATATCAGGTCTTACACGGAGGTATGCTTTCATGGCTTTCACAGGGCACTTTTCATCTGTCCCATTGCTACCGATATTGATCGTGGTTCCTTGCCCGTATTGGTCGGTTTTTGAGAATCTAATACGTACTAGCAGGCTTCCCTTCGGGCCACTGCAAAATTTGATGTCATCCCTCGCTATGACCTTGTTTAAGTCATCGCCCTTCCTTTGAATCGTGAATTCTCCCACTCTCAGAAACCCAAAAAATGCTAATAAATATGATGCGTGAAACATCATTGATTCGTAGTGAGAATAGCATACAAGGTATAATGTTGGTATGATTGTCTCTAAAAGTTCCCAAGTTATGGGTCTTCTACTGTCTACCATAGATCTGTCGCGCCTGCTCCCTTCCTGCATTTTCTTAATTAAGAAATGTTTAGTTGGGTCCGCCCAGCTGTACATATTGTGTAAATATGATAACGCTGCGACATGCTTTGTGATGGTTGATGATGATTTCCCATTAATGGAGAGGTGTGCGATGAATGCCATAACCTGTGTAGTTGTTGTAGGCCATGATGTATTCAGTTGTCTATTCAATCGAAACTCTTGAAATGAGTCTACAGCACTCTGGTATGCCCGCTGTGATCCCTCTGCTAAGGACTGTCCTAGTAGTCTATGTGTTTCTGCTGCTAGGTCAGCACTATTCCCGTAGGTATACGACTTGGTCGGTCTCGTGCTCCTGGTGCTAGTTTGCGGAATCGCCCCATCTTGCATTGGCTGTGCATGTAAAGGCGGCTGGCTTGATGACTGGTTCGCTCCAGTTGTCTCGTTTCCACTGTATTGTGGTCCGTCAGTCTCCGGAGCCGGGTTTATGCTGGTAGTGGCTGAGCGTCCACTGCTGGGGTTACCGCTCGAGTGTCTCGCCCGTTTTGGCCGCCCCGCCCGCCGGGGAGTTGAGGTGCCGAGTACGTCTTGAGTGGTGTCGTTGCTAGACTGCCTTAATCTTGTAGACTGTCTAGGCCTAGCAATCTTTGGTTGGCGGGCCACCCGGCTCTGGCTTGATTTCCGCTTTCCCATCTTTCGATATACTGGGATTTCCTCTCGTTATTTAGACTTATCTGTATACTCAATTGTAGAGCCTTCTCGAAAAAGGACTTCTCCGAGCGGAGATAAAGTCGAAAGTGAGAAAATCTTGCCCCGGCCCCCCCACTCAGGTTTCAAAATGACCGCATGCGTGTTGCCAAAATGTCCTTTTCGTAACAAAAGAAAAAGGTCGAGCCGTATTGACTTTACACACCGGACTTTTGCTGAAAAGGGGGGGGGGGGTGCGGAAAAAGGCTCGTATACAAAAGAAAAAGGTCGAGCCGTATTGACTTTACACACCGGACTTTTGCTGAAAAGGGGGGGTCGGTTGGAACACGCATATGCGTACCCTAAATAACACTGAGTGGGGGGGCCGGGAATCTTGCACACGGCGTTCCCACGCTTACTGCGCGCATAACTCCACCGTTGTAGATTCACTGGCTGTGCGCATTTTCGGTTTCTTTACAGAGATAAATTTCACATGTCGCTGTCCCACAAAGGCACCGCTTAAACAGCTGTAAAAGGCGCGCGCTATTTCTGGCCTATGCCAGCAATTGTTTTGTCTATCCTTGACTCTCCCAGAATGACTCTGATCATTTATTATGATCACGTTATTCTATCATTTGTTTAGTTTTAGAAATAGTGGAAAATCCAGATGAAGGCTCAATCGGCCACGGCCCCCTTCCCCCTTTGGCAGTCCTGAAACAATAAAGGGGAAGAGCAACGGAAAAAAACATAATAATAAATAATAATTAATAATAATAATAATAGCCTAATAGTCCACTCCAAATTTTATTAAACCAAAACGGAAATTCTTTTTGCCCAATTGATCGTGAGCCAGGCAGCCACTGAGCAGCACCAGATCGACGTTGCTCTATCCCTTATTGTTGAGAAGAGAAAGAGAAAAGAAGGTACGATAGAAGAAGATAGGGAAAGGGGAGAGAGAGAGAGAGAGAGAGAGAGAAGGGGAAAAATCGTTAATCCGAGTCACGGCTCAGCAACGTATTGGATAGAATGGAAACTAAATCCCACTACAAGATATGCGTATTACCTGCATATATTAATATGTACATTTATAAATGAGTTGCAGTTCGGGGGCGGCCAATCGGCCGCAGCCCTCCTCTTCTTTTTTTGACGGTCTTGAAAATGGTAATGGGAAATACAAGAAAGCGACGGAAGAAAATGAGAAAAGAATGTAATAGAGAAAAAGATAGAGGGGGACAGGAAAAGGAGAGAGCGCGAAAAAGAGAGAGAAAAGGAAAAACATGAATGTTAAATTCACACATACTACATTTCCAATAAGTTTGCTCGACATGTACCTAAGAAGGCTGCGGACGAAATGACAACAGTACAAAGAAAAACAGTTCTATAAAATTGACATAAGAGAAAAATAGAGATGATTTTTACAATTCAATGATAGGAGTTAATAGATTTTCGAGGAGGAAATTACGATTTCCATTGCTCGTGACGGACATTTTGAATTTTAAATTGTTCAAATTCGAAGAACTTCCGGGGGTTCCGTCCCCCTAGACCACCGGCAAAGACCCTGCCCCTGGACCCCATCCATAAAGATGGAAGTGGTTCCAAAACAACATTTTGTTGAATAAAATTGTCCTTAGGAGAGAGTATGTGTTTTATGTAGTTCAATCTTCTAACAACCTCAACATTTAGTAGGCAAGCTTACATCCAATCATGTGGAATTTTGATTATTCACACAATATTGAATGGCAAAAATGCTGTACTGTTACCAAATGTTTCATTATCACCTATAGTTTTATACCATTACCGCTAACCTCCACTTTCACCTAACAAAATATATTCCCATTGTAAAAACAACAACAAGTGACTCACTTCCAATGATGAATCATTGGCAATTTGTCGGCCATGTTTTACACTAACCTGGTTTTCAAGGTTTTCTGGTGGCCTTAACCCATTGTTAGTTGTATGAATAGATTCCTAGACCCCCCCCCCCCCTCCCCCACCTAGGTATAGACACTGAACTCCCTTCTTTGAGATGGATATATTTCATGATTTATGGCCTTTCATAACCAGGTTCCCGGGGATCCGATTTTTTAAAAGATTTTTAGTATGTTGTTCCTAATATCAGACACTACAGGAAACCGCTGAAAAACCTTTTGTTGCAATTTACGGGAGGTTGAGTTTCATGTTGCATAAATTGGCCAAACTATTTGTTTACAGCCAGTAGTTTATTATATATTTTTAACAAATATGTAGTACTTTTCATCATAATATTTAGGAGTATGTTGTTCGACTCGACGTTGTTTTTGTATATATTAGATTATTATAAAAGTAATTATGGATTTACAAGGATAGGACAAATACATTGAAAGACAGGATAGGCAAACCGTGTTGTTGTTTTCTTCTGTTGTTGGCCTATTCATGCTTCCTTTCAAGTTCAAGTTCAAGTTCGTTTATTTACACTCATCATTAAAAATACAAGAACATATACAATTAAATGAGGAATAATCACACATATAATATCATACATTCAACAACAACAAAATAACATAACATAATGGGAGTGAAGGGATGAGCTAAAAAGGAGTGTGGTCCTTATGCTAGAGCCCATCCCTCAGTATAATATAAATAAAAGGTAAATTAAATGTTGTACGATTGGAATCATGACAAAAAAAGGGAAAACAAGGGGGGTAATGATGATGGTAATAGATGGAATGGCTTTTGCTAAGCTACCTTTATAAACCCACAATCCATTTTAATTTGATGTTTTTATTGCCTTAAGTAATATATTTATGTGCTTTGTACAAAAGAAATATCCATATAATACACAACTACTACACTTTGAGAAATAATACAAAACAAGACTACTACCCTTTGAGAAAAATAATTCTTTGTAGTCTAGTGCGGTTTTATAAATAACATATATGAATTAGTTTCACGCACAAGATATTTCTCTTTTGTTCATGTATAGTAGCCATTGATCAAGGGCAGCTTATTCTCTACTTTATAAGAACGATCAGCGATAAAGGAAAGGCTGTGACTATATAGCACGTACTTGACCTAGCTGTTCAGTTTGTACTCTAGTCTAGATTCTGTTCGGTTTTTGTTTTTATTCTTCTATCAAATTTGTTGGTGATAAAAGTCAAAATTGACTGATTGCTATGAAGCACTAATCAAAAACAACAACAACAACACGCAGCGATTCCTCACACAACCCGGTGTCTCCACCCATCGTGCGGTTCCTCAAATAATAATAAAAATGATGGATAGTGGGTTCTTGTATAGCGCTCATAACTGTCAGACTTGACACTCCTGGCGCTTCGCAATTATATTACCCCGGCTTTAGCATGGCTGCCATTACGCCGCTCTAGCATTTCAAAGAATTAATTCCTGCCAGGTACCCATTTACATCACATGGGTCGAGTGTGGCAAATGTAGAATAATGTCTTCCCAAAAGACTTAGGACAAAGGAAAGTAGGCCTACCGTCCAACAGAACGTTATCGGGGTACAGAATGAGAGGAATGGCAAGGTCTACTGTCAATGTTGAGGGTGTGTTATTTTATCAGCTGATTGGGCGCGCAACATGCAGAACAGAGGCTGGACTATAATTATGTACTCCTTTGTGTGATGTCCAGGGGCCCATTTTACAAAGCCTTTTTTCAATGACAAAAAGCAGTGTCAAATCTGCTGATAACCAAACAGAAGCAAGAATTTCAGTAGCTCATAACAAAAACATTCGTCACTGATGACAAGTTTTGTAAAACGCCCCCAGGTCTCTAAAAATCACCGCACCTAGTTTCATTCACTCATGCAGAATGCATTTGAACAGGAAATCTGCACTGTGTTGTGATATTCCATATTGCCTTCTAACCTTCTACTCGATCGGTCCAAAAATAGAGAGGTTCGCTTAAAGTATGGCTGATAACCAGTTCCTGAATTCGACGTCAATCGTCACTTATGTAGTTATAATTACCACATCAATTCTCATCACTCGATATTGGATTAATACAAAACGAGAGAATGGAAAATTGGCCAAAAGTGGCGGGCGTCCACTGCCTGGTCCCTGGGGGCTTCCTGTTATTGGTAACATGCTGTCCTTGGATCAGACTGGTCCACATCTATCCTTGATGAAGCTGGCAAAGGTATATGGAAATGTCTTCAAGATTCATATGGGCAACCGACCTCTTCTTGTTTTGAACGGATTTCAGGCTATCAAGGAGGCTTTGACAAAGCAACCAGCCGTCTTTGCGGGTCGCCCAGATCTGTTCACCTTCAAAGTAATCGATGAGACGAACGTCTATGGCCCGTCCATTAGTTTTAGCACCTATAGCGAGCAATTGAAGCTTCACCGGAAACTTGCCGAGACGTGTCTCAGGCATTTCTCAGAAGGCGGCCAAGCACAGTTCCTGGAGGGTGTCGCGAAAGGCGAAGCAGAAGAACTTGTCCGACACCTGAAAGTTTCCAAATGCGAAGGGGGGTTAGACATTAGGCGTCTAATCCGTTTGTCTGTGACCAATATGATCCTTTGGTATATGTTTAGTAAGCGTAGCTCCTATGATAGCAAGTTACTAAACGACATTCTAAATTTGACCGACAAAGCCGAAAAGCCTTCCGGAAGTGGAAACCCCGTAGACTTCTTGCCCTGGCTAAGATTTATAACCACAAAGTATAAGACCACATTGCAGGAGTATCGAAAGAAATTTGGAAAACTCTTTAGTGGAGTTATTGAAGAACATGCCGTCTTGTATGAACCTGGATCTGAACGAGATGTAATCGACCATCTGATTTCTACGGGCCACAACAGTGGGGAGGAAGAACTTCAACGTTTGGGGTTGGCCGGAAAGGCACTTTACCAAAGCGCCTTTGACTTTTTTCCAGCAGGAACGGAGACAGTGTTGGCTACCTTAGAGTGGATCATGGTCTACATGGTTACCTACCCCAATGTTCAGTCTGATGTCCAACACGAGATCGATCAGTTTGTTGGTCGTGGTCGTTTGCCAACATTGAATGACCGTGACAACCTCCCTTTGACGCAATCATGCCTTCTTGAAATCCAGCGCCATGCAGCAGCTGTCCCTTTTGCTGTACCTCATAGCACGACACAGGATACAGTTCTTGATGGATACT